GACACTGTTCACGCAGATGATTCGAATACACATGTGCATAAATAAATGTTGTCGTTGTTGTTGTCGTGGTGTCAACACATTTGCATAGTGACATAGTGGTCTTTACGACGAAGACCAATATATTTCGGGTGCTCGATCTTTTTGTTCCACAAGCGAGGCCGCACGGCATCGACATATTTCACAATCGTGGTTTAACTTGTTGTTTTTGGTTTTGGGTAATATTGAATAAGCCGGTTACTTGCAGTGATTGGTCTGGTGAGAACGGCTGATGCAGCATGGATGACGACGAGCCGAAACTATATAGTACCCACCACAGCCAGCGGTTGCCAAACGTCAACAGACTAGCTTTGAGAGAGTTCTTCAAACGTGCACACATCGCGCACTTGTGCAGAGAAGGGTTGAACAACATGAAACCACAGCGGCGTAGAATCCCAGACACATGTGACGTTTTGTTCAACGTGTGCAACACGATGCCTCGCGTTTCAATATGTTAAGACGGCAAATAGCTGTATGTGTTGTGTTGCAGGAGGCGTGGTTAGTGGTCAGCTCGTTGGCTCATAAGCGATTGGCCCCTCCGTAGCAGTTCATCGCTGCGGAGCTGCATGGCCCGGGAGGTGCTGCACCAATGTCCATTGCATGCAACACGTGTTGTGGGTAAAAACATGGTTTCAGCTCGTCGCTCGTTGCATGGGCTGGAACGAAGTTTGTGAGGACGCCTTCAGGACAGGGTTCGGAAGCATGTTGCGAGGGTTAGCATTCTTCGTGCAGCCAACGTCAGCGATGTGGCATTGGGCTTGAAACCCCAGCACCACAAGGCTAAACTTTCTTCATGCCGGTGCCTTTCGACAGCCGGAGGTGGAGTCTGCCATTGAAGCTCCTGAGGAAGTAGCAGAGTTGCGGGGATCGTCGGATTCTCGGTTTTGGCTGAGTTCTGGCTGCATCCGCTTCCTTAGTTAGCATAAGCATGGCATTAGACCGAGACGGCACAAGGTTTGAATGCCAAGGCATAGAAGGGCCATGGATGGATGGGCCTTTGATTGTTCTCATGCCCGGAACCCTCCCAGCGTCTGCCCAGGCACCGGCTTCCACGCCACCTCCGGCTTTACCAACCTTTGGCGCTGCCAGGTGAGCGCGGGGCGTGGGATTTTTGTTCCGTCACTTTCTTATGAGCTAGGACGCGGCCTGCGAGTCGCTTGAGAGGTCCAGTGGTGTTTGAACACTTCGAGTCGGCTGACGACATTGGATCCAGCATTGGGGCCGCATCCGTCCGGCTCTGAGTGGGGATGGGGAACGGCATGTGTGGGGTTTGTGTATGCAATTGAGAGCTGGCTTGGGGCGGCGATAATTAAGCACCCTTCTTCTGGAGGCACTCTTCTGGGACTCTTTATCCGAAGACGAAGACAGCAATCAATGGTCTGTGGATGATTTCACGGAGTGCCCCTTGCTTTTCAAGCAGAGCTGGGTGCCCACTTTGCACAAGCACGCAGCCTCCGCATGTGCGTGTGTCTCGGGAGGTACACCCTCGACTCGCAAGACACCTCCGTCAGCAGCACTCGTGCCTCTGGAAGCGCCACGCGAGGAGCTCAGCATTGCTTTATCTGAGGCGGGGCAGAAAGATACGGGTTTGCGTGTGCGTCGAGGCTGCGATAGCCATGGCTTTTCAAGACGGGTCGTTAAGCAATGCATCGTCGGATTGTGACAGCTTGGACGGCGAGGGATAAGAGATGGAGCACACGAACTTGAGCAAGATCCAATCCGATAGTTCAAAGCAAGAGGGCTCTTCTGGCAAGGCCAGACCATTACCAGACGTTGGCCACGAATCATGTTCGTCACAAAACTGATGATGTTTCAGTTGCATTTGCTTCATCCGCCTAAGGTTCCTTCATGTTATGTAGAACGAAAGCATAGCAGACTAAGCAGCCTTGAGCGTCTGGTCTCCAGTTTCCGGGAATCTCCTGATCCAAAAGTCCAAACACACACGAAGCTGTGCCACTAGTGCTTTTTCTCGGAGCTCTCCAACGACATTGTGCGGAAGTGATGTGGACTACGCTTTCCTTTTCGTCCAGAGTCTCTGTAGGCAGCAGCCGTCCCCTTTAGTTTTCCTCACATTGGAGGCCGTTGGGGATGAGGATTGAGTGTTGTTGTGCGATGTCTACTGTGCCGAGGACTGGAGGGAACTCCCGCGTCTCGCGCCCCGCTGCGCGCAGACTGAACCTGAGCACAGAGAGGGGAGTGCTTGGGAGCCTGAGGCAGGGTTGAGGCGGCTTGAGGCACAGCTTGCCCTCTTATCCTTCTTACAGAGATTGTGCAGATGAAAGCCTTTTCTTGCTTCAAGACCTCCAAGTCATGTCACAGAAATCCAGATCGAACCACGCAAATCTCCAATCTGTCAACACTGAAGCTCTGCCAGACCTTGAAGGCCTCGTCTCCGGCACTGCTTCGGAAGTGTTTTGCAAGACGAAGGCTTCAGCGTGGTCGTTCGTGGAGCCCGGAGCCCGCAGACGCTGCTTCGAGGCGGGAGCCAGAGCTGAGAGTGTGCTGAGCTTCCTGACATCCAGTGAAACTGGGACTTCAGAGCCAAAGGGGAGCCGCTCCTAATTTTTTTTGGCATACATCCGCCGAGCTAGAAAAACAATCTTCACCTTCGATTTTTGCTACACGACCGCCCAAGGCCTCGGCAACACAGGCTACCGCGGGCGCTCAGTGACCCGACGGGAGAGGACCCTGCATGGCTCTGCATGATCAATCACAAGGGGAATCTCTTGCTGTGTGCCACAGTCAAAACTCGGGCGCGGCTATGCGGCACCGGCATCCGACGCACACGCCAAGCCGCGGGTGCAAAGCTCAGTCGGGGAGCAGAAGCTCACGAAGAGATGCTTCAGTTGGCTTTGAAGATTTCCAGTATTATTCGGGCTTAAGGGCTTGGACTTGGAGTCTTACTATGCTTGCAATCAGAGCACCAGGATGTCCAGAGTCTCAGGGCTCGAAGGGCTGGAAGCTCCTCCAGGCCCAGCCTTGAACTTCTAGACGAACTGAGTCCAGGCCCAACCCTCGGCGCTTTGTGGGTGCGGCTGCCTGGGCCTTGGTGCTCGTTTCCAGCAGTCGCGATGGTGCTGGTGCGTCCTGCGAGGGTCTGATACGAGGCACCCAAGTGCTGTGCGCCGCATGCCCTCTAAGGCACATGTGAGCAAGACAACCCTAAATTCTAAGTTCCAATCTCAACTTCAGCCCGATGGGTCACATCCGGGGTGCCCTCAAGCCCCGCACTCCCGAAAAAGCCGAAGAACCCTGAACTCCAAGAGTGCCAACAGGCGCAAGTCCGCTTTGGCCACTACCATCCCATAGGCCGGGCTCGGAAGTTTACAGTGGTTACGGCTTCGGGTGTTTTTTCGCTTCTGGGGTTGACGTGGGGCTTTGATCGACCGAGAAACAGCCACGAAGGTGAACCTTGGTTTGGGTAGTTTGAGACACTTGTCCTCTTCCGTTCCTTGCCGCTCAGACTTCCCACTCCCGCTGGATCTCTTTCTTTTTGCCGGCTCGGAGCGTTTCGGATGTCCGTTCCTTTTCGTGCCAGCTTCAGGCCGCGTGCGAGAAGAGTGAAGAGCCAGAGTGAGGCAAGCAGTGAAACTAGGTCCCTCGCATGTGTTACATGTATTACGAAGCGGCATAGAGGTGCAGTCATACAAGCCCAGAGGAGCCACTTTAGGGACTTTGTGAGGGGTAAGCGTGGCTTCCCGGTATCATTGAATAGATTGGATAGGAATTGAGTAAGTGCTCACACATTATATATATATACACATTTAATGTATAGATACGCACATATACGCATACGGATGTTGGCACGTATGTTTAAAAGACACATGCACACATACATACGCATATGTACGATGCAAATTCGAGCAGAATGATGGACGGTTTTCCTGCACGCAGCAGATCGGTGCGTCGTGGCATCAGCGGCTTTCAGAAGCGCTCTTTCAAGTCGTCAAAGGCGCTCGTCCAAGTCTCCATTGGACTCGGGGACGGTGTGTGCAGCCGACTCCGTTCCGATCCCTCGGTGAGAGCTTAGTGACGGCTTTACCTCAACTGTAGGTTCCTGGTAGCGGTGCACTGAGGGATCAGAGGCCGGCATGTGTGTGCACAGATGGTGACCGGCCGGTACAGTGGCAGCACTCATCTTTGCTTGCAAAGAGCCTAAACTGCTGTAGATTCAGAGGTTTTCCAAACTTGAGGTCCCTGTCGTCTGCGACTCGAGTCGCTCATACAGTCGATTTCATTGGCGTCACGGACCTTATGTTTGAGAAACGCATGTCTAGGCGGCTGCGAGTTCTCGTGCGAGGTGTGGATCCCTCGAACCAGCAAAAGAAGCAGCACAAGGACACAGTAGAAGGCGTTCCCCGAATCGTCGCAAAGACCTGGAATGGGCACAACTCCACGGCCGACGTTTCACCTCTAATGCGGTAACTCCTGATCTGCTGTGAAGTGGGAGTGGCAAAAGCATGAAAAAAGGATGAAGAGGCCATTGCCCAATCCTCGGCCGGCCCTGACCACCCCAGTTTTTGCAGACATGCGGCCATTGCAAGTGCGGATTGGCATCGGGCTCAAGTACTTAGGCAGGCTTTTCTAAAGCTGAGACCATCATGTGAGGAGTGACCATGAAGAAACCCGAAGTTGTAAACATGGAGAACTCGACGAACCGAACGACCCGCAAAGGAGAAGCGAGCTGCAAACCTTCCGCCCGAACGACATCAAACATATCAAGCGAGAGAAGTCGTCATACATCAGGTCAGGTTCTGCAGCCAAAGCCTGGCAAGATGCGGATACGAGTCGCTGTACCAGGGCTCCTCTGGGCGCTGGATACTGTTTGGGGCACAGAGTGGCTCTCGGTTTGAAGGTTTGGATTTTGCAAGCAGGGGATCGGGATGCCCACGTTCCGCAGTCTGTTGCTCCCTGCATCATACGCAGCGATGGCACAGTCCCAAGTTTCATGCTACACCTTGAAGGTAACAGCAACGGGGGCAGAGGCACCTGTGCGAGGCAGGCTTGATTGGCTTTCGGGTGTTGGGCAGATGGAGATTTCAATTATTCCTCGGTATGAGGCATGAAATCAGTCATGGGAGGTGGCCTGTGCTTCAAAAGTTTCACACCCTTGAGCACTTGCGATCTTCGCTCGGAGTGATGCCCCCTTGCTGCGACAGGTCTTGCCGGGGTGAGCCCGTCGCGTTTTGACATGGGTGTAAAGGTAAAGTCAACGTGTCTTCGGATGGGATCATCAAGCTAGCGCGAGACATTGTGCCAGTTGTACCTTGACAGCTTGCGTGCTGCCAGACGCCTGACGTGATAGACATCGGTCTGCATCAGTCCTGCCATCTCCTTAATCCTTATGGTGCTCTGTGGCTTTCTGCACTTGCTTTGTGAGGGCCAAGCGTCTCTATGTTCCTACGGAGCTCTCGGTTCTGGAGAGGCACTCTAGCAGAATGTTGTCTTGCCGAGGCGACGGTCTTGCGAATTTCACAGGTGGGACTTCAGTTCGGGCCAAGCGCCTGTCATGGAAATCAGTTCGACTTGCGGGTCAAAGAGCCGGAGTAGTCAACGTTCACATGACGAGAATGAAGGCAGTAAGGACTCAGTCTGATTGAGAGCAAGAGCAGGTTCCAATGACTCGCCGCTTTTCGTGTATGCCGACAGCTTCAGTGACTGGCCTTCAGCTCAGATGACTTTAGTAGACGGGAATGGTTCCTGAAGTAGCCTTTCGGTGTCTGTTCCGCAAAGCGAAGCCAGCAGCACCTCCGAAATGGTCGATTTTGAAGTTTTGGCTCTCACAGCACCGCGGGTTACGAGCCTCGAAGGGTTGTTGGCATCAGACGCTCTCGGCTTGATTGTCTCGGCTGCTTATATCTTCCCCCTGCAGCTTACCAACACTCGCGATGTCGAGGTTGAACGGCACCTCGTACCAGTGGACCGTGGCTGCTGCAGCGTTACTGGTTGGGCTCTGCCTCACCTGGGACGGGAGCTCAGCAGAAGTGTCTTAAAGTACTGCTTCTCATTCGGATGCAGGTGCGAACTGTTGTCATCATGGCCATGACCATGGTTATGATTACGATCATCGTTCCAGAGAACATTGGAGCTGTCATGAGTATGCCTTCGCACATGTGAAATCGAACACGCCCGTCTATTTCTCAGGGAACTGTCACAACCCAAGAAGAACTCCAAGAAGCCGCGGTCTCGGTTGCTGATACCAAGCTGCGAAGCCAGGACGGCCCCCGAATGTGGAAGCTCCTCTTCACAGGGGCTGTGCCGAGTGCTTGGCGTCTCGTGAATCCTCAAGCTCGAGAGAAGCATGTTGCTGTGCAGTTCTGCTGTCCGCCACGGACCGGAAGGTCTGCACTGGCTGCAGGCGCTGCCTGCTACGAGGCAGCCAGTCAGCCGGTCTTCTTGACTCACCAAACTCAAGAAACCAATACCAGCAGAGCCTATGAACCGATTTCTTGGGTCGGGGGCGTGTGGGTGTGTGAGGGATTCGCGAGTTGCTCGGTACAGGAGATTGAGGGGCTGGTCACCTCGTTTGCGAATAGGGGTGCAATAGCCGTTCAATAGCCTCTGAGCCTGCTGCCTCGTTTGGCTTCCTGCCCGACAGGCGAATGTCCAGGAGATAGGTTTCTTCTCCACCAGCATCCTGATGGCCCAGGCTCCTGACGAGTAGCAGCTTCCGTTGATTTCAGATCCGGAGGTTAAGTTGTCCAGTGTAGCAGTGTTCACAAGGTGTGCAGAAAAGACATGGCGGTTGTTCTGCTTGACTTCATTCCGCAATCAGCTGCTCCTGTTTTTGCCTGGGCTTTGCGCGGAACCCTAGACTGTCAGCTAAACCCACATTCGTCAAATCTCAACAGATAGCCTCGGTTCCTCTTTGGAGAAACCCGGCTCTCGATTTGTGGCTTCAGTCCCGTGCCTTGAGGCAGCAGGAACGCTGGGCTTGGCCACTTTGTGGGGCTTCGAGGGGAGCCAGGTGCTGTGATGTCCCCAGGATGGAGGGTATCAGATGCGCGTCGGGTCTTCTCGCCTGCTTTCGTCTGGGTTCCAACTTCGTTGCCCCGGTGACTCGTCGTGGCAAGGCTGGGAGCATGCAGTGGTTTTGCTGCAGCCTTCGGCATGGGAGCAGCGTCCTCAGAGGCGTTCTTTATATTGAATGTGTTGCGACAAAGACTGAGGCTCGGACATGTTTGTTGTGCCATGCTCTTCGCATGCTCTGTTCCTTGTGTTACGTGCTCTGTGTCCGAATCCACTCCCAGCAGGTGGAAGAGTCATGATCAAAGCAAGGCCATTCATGTCCACTCCAAAACAGTCCAGACATCCTTGTCGTCCAGCCAAGGCTTGGACCAAGCCCCTCGACGCACAACTGCCTGGGCTTTCGATCTGTTGGTGAGCCTCCCCCAGCCAGAGCTCTCAAGTCCATCTTTTGCAGAGCAAAAGTCACGCAGTGAGGCTGAAGTCCAACTAAAGTGTAGCCAGGTACATCGTGGGTGCCGTGTGCGGAGCTGAGTTCTACTGAGCCAGGGGTCTCCCCAGGTCCTTTCCAAAGTCGGGGGAGCCAATGGCTTTAAACAGAATTCCGAAAAAAGCAGGTGCTTTCAAGACAATGCGGAGCTTCTCTGCCCTTTGCTGCATTCGGCGTAGCCCGACTGGAGGTTTGGAGTCCTGGTCTTCACGACATGGAGACGTCCCGTTGTGCCCTGAGCTCTCTGCTCCGAGCTCTGAGGACAGGAGCCTCCCTAGGGGAAACGCCACGTTTTGTCCGCAATCAAATTGTAGATTGACACAGGTTCGGACTCACCAGGGCCCTTCAGTAACCTGACCGGCCCGCATAGTGTTTGCCTGGATTGATGCGAAATCCGTTTCATTTTCTGCTTTGGAGACGCTCAGATGCTGGCATGCCTGGCTCCCATGCTTGGTGGTCTTCTTACGGCCTCCGGCGTCGAACTCCCAGCAATCTCTTGTGATGCTGAGCCTGCGGTTTTTGAACTCACTCCTGTGTCTGCATGAGTTGTAGGTGAAATGAATCGACTTCTGATTGCCGATTAAAGGTGGGCGTTCTCGTGTGCGAAGCCGGGCTGCGGACACCTTTCCTGCCACGCGGCCATGAGCCTTTGCCTGAGTTGTTCGGGATGCAGTCTCATGCAAACTGCGTGCCACCAATCAGCAAGGTCTATTCGCATGTACCTCTTCCTTCTTTCTCGCGTGGTTCGATCGGGTTCAGAGGCTTTCTCACATGTGAGTCTCTCGGGTTGCAGCTTTGGGCTGCGTCCAAATCTGCAAGAAAACAGCAGGCTCCTCGAATCCAAGCTTGAACCCTGAGCTGTTTGGTCTTCAACCTGTAACCGTGAGCCTTTTAATTTCAAGCGCTTTACTATGATCATCTCGTTTCGAAGTGTCTGAAAATTGTGAGAAGGCATAAAGTGAGGTTGATGATGACGATGATGGCGACGATGATGATGATGATGGTGATGATGATGACGATAGCAATGGTAATGTGGGTGACAATGAGGCCAAAGACAATGCAATAAAAGGTCATGATCCTGTACTGGTGGTGGTCGTGTTGTTGTTGTTGTTGTTGTTGTTGTTGTTGTTGTTGTTGGTTCTGTCTGACCATTGAATCATTGAGTATGGAACCGCCGTGCCGTGAAGGTCATGGTCCACGGCCGCAGCAGCCCTGCTTGGGCTCAGTGGCACGTCTTCCCTGGCACTGCCCGGACCTCATGAGGTTTTGCCTAGGTTTGCTGTCGGGGTCGTAGTAGTGAAAAGTAATGAGAGATCAAGCACTACAGCTTTGAACCATTGTGTGTAGTGTCTGTAAAGATGTGTTTGTATGCATATGTGTTTATGTGTATATGTGTGTATGTGAATACATGTATATGTGTATATGTGTATGTGTGTGTCTGTCTGTATGTATGGAAGTACGCATGTACGTGTGCGCATGTATTTATTTATGTATGTATGTATGTATGTATGTATGTATGTATGTATGTATGTATGTATGTATGTATGTATGTCTGTATGTGTGTGTGTATGTATGTATGTATGTATGTATGTATGTATGTATGTATGTATGTATGTATGTATGTATGTAGGGTCCCGGATCGAGGTCCTGCAATCAGTCAGGATCATAGCTGGCAGACCCCACGTGCCTACCAATTAGGCACGCCAACGACGCCATCAGGCGACAACCACCCTCGTCACCGGCCTGGCATCGCCGTGCAAGGGCGAGACGCGCTAGAGCCCGTCAATCCATCTATCTGGAAAGCGAGATCCTCGCAAACTTCCGCGCCCGGTGCAGCGCTGAGACTGCTCAGCAGGCACCACAGCCGCCCGCAGTACCGTGAACTTCAGATGGGTCGCGGCCGCGATTGGAAGCAATGGACTGCAGGTGGTGGATATGGTACATGGCATGGGCAGCAGCCTGCGTGGACGGGCAAGGGCTCGGGCTCGGGCAAACAAGGTCGGGGACAGCGAGATCGCCAAGACCGCCAGGAGACTTTGTTCCCGACTTACGAGATGATGGATGTCAAAGAAAAGACGGAGCGCAGTGCGGGCTCGAAGGGCTACGAGGAGGACACAGAGGACGAAGGGCCGCGGACGGGGCGGTATGTCAACAGTGTCCAGAAGCTCTTGAATGGAGTCAGACGAGCAGAAGCCAAAGCCCGCAAACTGGAAGAAGCCCAGCTCATGGCGGAGACGAAGTGGCAGAAGTTCAAGGACTCCCTCCAGAAGAGCTACGTCGAGGAGAAAGCGAAGTTTCAGGACAAGATCGACAAGATCAAGAAGGAGGCGGCGGAGATGCAGATGATGAAAGACGAAGCCCTCCTGGAACTACAGAGGGCTTTCTCCCGGCCCAAAGAACAGACGGCCCCCAAAGCCGAGAAAGACGAGAAGGAGGTAGAAGCCATCCGGGAGTTCGAGGAGGTCCTGTAAGCGGAGACCAGCAAGCCGAAGGGCCTCGCGGACATCTTGGCCGGCGCTGTCAAGGATGGAGCAGTGCTAAGCGATGCGGCAAGAGAGCGACTTCGGGCGATGATTGCCAATCATCGAGCAGGCGGCAAGGAAGAACGGACGCCCAGCAGAAGAAGAACGAGGGTCCGGGAGAGAACGCCGACCGGAAGCCCGACAGCAGCGCCTGCACGTGTGGCAGACGATGTGGCAATGAAGTACGACGAGGGAACAGACTTGCCCGGACCCTACCAGGAGTCGCCGTCGGCCAATGGCAAGATGAACAGGGAGCAGGGCCGGAGAACGAGGTCAGGAACGAGACCAGCGGCGAGGACACCGGTCAAGATGGTGGGCAGAGAGCGTCCCTCGGGGCCTACAGGCAGCGTTGCACTGGGAGACAAGCTGCACGCCAGACGAGAGCAGTGCCTAAAGGACACCTTCGTCGACTCGTCCGACGAGGACCTCAAGGTGGCCGACCTCCAGAACGTCAAGAACAGCCCGCACGACGAGGAGTAGAAGGACCAGGCGGCCATGTAAGTGCAGAAGGGGTCTTCCTGACTGTGGCTGCACGGGCAACAGCGCCTGGACAAAAGCAAGCGAACCAGAGTTCCAATTTTGGGGTCGAGGATGGCCTAAAGGATGGCTTCTATAACATCATGTGGAACCAGTTCGCGGACAGTGAGTACAACCAGAAGGAATCGACCCCTCACGTGGTCCTGCGTTCGAGAGGTGGCATGCAGAACTTTGTCAAGACCTTAACGGGCAAGACGATCACCTCGGATGTCGAGGCCGATGACACCACAAGCAATGTCAAGGCTAAGATCCGGGACAAGGAAGGCATCCCACCCGACCAGCAGCGCATGATCTTTGTTGGTAAGCAGTTGGAGGATGGTATTACTTCGTCGGACTACAAAAGCCAGAAGGAATCAACGCTTCACCTGGTGCTGCGTTTGCGAGGAGGCATGCAGAGCTTTGTCAAGACCTTGAAGGGCAAAACGATCACCTTGGATGTTGAGGCCAGTGACACCACAAATAATGTCAAGGCTAAGATCCAGGACACGGAAGGAATCCAGCCCGACCAACAGCACCCGTACTTCGTTGGAAAGCAGTTGGAGGACGGTATTACCCCTTCTGATTACAACAGCCGGAAGGAGTCAACCCCTCACTTGGTGCTGCGTTTGCGAAGCGGCGCACAGAGCTTTGTCAGGACCTTGACGGGCAAGACGGACATCTTGGATGTTGAGGCCGATGACACCACAAGCAATGTCAAGGCTAAGATCCAGGACAAGGAAGGCATCCCGCCCGGCCAGCAGAGCTTGTTCTTCGCTGGAGAGCATTTGGAGGACGGTGGTACCCATCCTGATTGCAACAGCCGGAAGGAGTCAACCCCTCACTTGGTGCTGTGTGTGCGAGGTGGCATGCAGAGCTTTGTCAAGACCATGACGGGCAGGACGATCACCTTGGATGTTGAGGCCAGGGACACCACAAACAATGTCAAGGCTAAGATCCAGGACAATGAAGGAATCCAGCCCGACCAACAGCACACGTTCTTCGTTGGAAAGCAGGTAGAGGACGGTACTACCCGCTCGGATTACAAAAGCCAGAAGGAGTCAACGCCTCACTTGGTGTCGCTCTCGCGAGGTGGCACGCAGAGCTGTGTCAAGACCTTGACGGGCAAGACGATCACCTTGGATGTCGAGGCCGATGACACCACAAACAATGTCAAGGCTAAGATCCAGGAC